TCCCTCCACGAAGCGACGATAATAACCGGCCAAGCCGAGAAAACTCTGAATCTCAGTAACTGAAGATGGCTTGCGCCAACTCTAAACTGCCTCTATCTTCTTTGGATCCCCTTTAATCCCTTCACTGGACACTATGTGTCCCAAGAATGCCACCGAACTAATCCAGAACTCACACTTAGAGAATTTGGCATAAAGTTTCTCCTTTCTCAGCCTCTGCAATACAATACCCAAGTGTTATGCATGCTCCTCCTGGCTACATGAGTACACCAGGATATCATCAATAAATACCACGACAAATGAGTTAAGATACGGGTGGAATACACTATTCATCAAGTGCATAAATGCTGCTGGGGCATTGGTTAACCCAAAAGACATCACAAGAAATTCATAATGGCCATAACGAGTCCTGAATGCCATCTTTAGAATATCCGAATCCCGAATTTTTAACTGGTGATACCCCAATCTCAAATCAATTTTGGAGAATACCCTCGCTCTCTGAAGTTGGTCAAATAAGTCATCAATACGCGGCAAAGGATATTTATTCTTGATTGTAACTTTATTCAATTGCCTGTAATCAATGCACATTCGCATAGTACCATCTTTGTTTTTCACAAATAGAACCGGTGCACCCCAAGGAGACACACTAGGCCTAATGAACCCTTTATCAAGAAGTTCCTGAAGTTGCTCTTTCAATTCTTTTAACTCAGCTGGTGTCATACGGTACGGAGGAATAGAAATGGGCTGAGTGCCATTCTTTTAAACTGTAATACATAATTATCTAACTAACATGACTAAATTAATCATTTGTGTAAGTTCTAAGGATGTTCTCTCATTTTGAATTCACGTGTTATGCTAATGTAATAATATTTTTCGATATTTAGATGATTGTTGTATTATTATACATCAAATTTTTCTCATTAATTAAATTTTATTGTTCGTTCATATAAATAAATGTTTAAACTATCATATGTCATTATTAACGTGCAACGCACGTTCATATCGAGAGTGACCCGTGCAATATTATTATATATAGAAGTCGTTTATCATAAAACAACAATATGGAGCCTTTCAACTTATTGATTATAAAACGTCAGTGAATAGGTTTGTGCAGGTGCTCAAAAGGAAATAGTATATGGAATAGGACGAATAAACGACGAATGTGATGTGAAAGGAAGCCACATGCAATAGTAGTGGTTAGAAGATTAAATATGATGAAACTACTGACGTGCGAGAAGTCCAGTCCGTGTTAAACATATAACACATTTAGCCCCATTCCATTCTGCTGCTAGTTCAATTCAATAGCAATATTTGATTCTAATTTTCTGCAGAAAATGGTTTGGCTAACTGGTAATTTGAATTTAATAGATTCAACCTTTAAAGGTCTTAATATTAAATTTATAATTAAAATTCGGAACATAATATTTGTTAAAGTTTAATTATCTTTCACATATGTATGATCCATATTCAATACCGAAATACTAGGTTTGATTAAACCTTTAGTTAATAAACTGCATCGGCCAGTAAACTTTATGTCCCATCACATCCACTACCGATTCCGGTTAAAACGGTTTCCGAACAAGCTCGCTAACTATATTCTTTTCCGGAGAGGAGATTTAACACATAAAAAATAATTGCTATACAAAATGAGAAGAATTAGTGACTCAAATACAGTTTTGTAAGCGGGATAATGTCACGACCCGGAATTTCTATCGTCGGGACCGTGATGACGCCTAACATTTCACTTGCTAGGCAAGCAAACGTTAGAGAATCGTTAAGCCACTTCTTATACATTTCAGTAAATAACAGCAAATAAGCTATAACGAGTTTAAAATGAGTGCGGAACTATATAATAGCCTCAATATATATATACTACTACCCGAATCTAGAGTCACAATTCAGGAATTTCTAAGATTTTTCTACAAGTAAATGTCTAAAAGAAATACAACTGTTTTCGAAAGGAAAGAAACAGTAAAATGCAATGGCTAGAAGGGGACTTCAGGGTCTGCGGACGCCGGCAGATCTACCTTGGGTCTCCTGTCGGATGAATCCAGCAGCTAACCTCACGATCAGCTCGGACCAATACCAAAATCTGTACAGGAAATGCAGAGTGCAGTACCAGTATAACCGACCCCATGTACTGGTAAGAGTCGAGCCTAACATCGACGAAGTAGTGACGAGGCTAAGGCGGGTCACTCACACTACAATATATACGCAATATATATAATAAAAGCATAATAGGAAATGCAGAATAGAAGAAAGCAGTAAATTGCAAGAAATACAACAACTCCCGGAGATATATCAACAGTATTTAGAAATTACTGATCCTTAAGTGCAAAAGAGAATACTGTAAAGCTAACACAGCTTAGGGAAACATAAACACATAGGTTGTTGCGGCGCGCAACCCGATCCCACAATATCACAATAACACAATTATAGTTCACCCTTATTCTACCAAACAATCCACCCTTATTACACTCGTTGCGGCGCGCAACCCGTTCCCACCGTATCACAATAACACAATCATAGTTCACCCTTATTCTACCAAACAATCCATCCTTATTACACTTGTTGCGGCGTGCAACCCGTTCCCACCGTACAGTATTAATTCACCCTTATTCCACCTCAATATATCACCCTTATTCCTCCTCTTGCGGCGTGCAACCCGATCCCACCATATCAATATTAATTACTCAGTATGTATAGAAATTTCACAATTTAAATCACAGAAACCCTTCACAATACTTAAACTCCAAACCGAAACAAATAGGAAATTTGTACACTATGAAAATCCACATAAGTAAAGCTACACAGCGAGATCAATTCAGAATCTACAACAGAAAGGTACCGGTAAACCAGCTTAAGCAAATAACAGGAGATAATGAAACTATGGAAGAACTAATATCATTAACCGGAGAAAATAATGTCTAACACGTAGCAATTAGGCATGGGAACACAAGTAGAGTATATAACAACTAAGACAGGGAAAGAGGCAATATGACAAAAACGGGAGAAACAGGGAAAACAGATAAATTGGCGGAGCATAAGTACTTGTCACCTCACATATACGCCGCTCACATGAATTTCACATAGCAAATAGTCCGAGGGTTCCTAATTCCCTCAAGTCAAGGTTAGACACAATACTTACCTCGCTCCAAAGGCCACTCAATGCTCAATTACCGCTTTTCCTCTAGAATCCACCTTCAAACCACTTGTATCTATCCACAAATGACTCAATAATATCAAATATTGCTAAAAAAATCAATTACAATGCATAAATTTAGATTCCCCTCCCCCAAAAAGTCAAAAATTGACCCCGAGCCCGCTTGGCCAAAATCTGAGGTTCGGACCAAAATCCATTCACCCATTCACCCCCGAACCCAATTATATAATTTATTTCGAAATCCGACCTCAATTCGAGGTCTAAATTCCAATTATGCAAAAATCCCTAATTCTACCCAAACCCCTAATTTCCACCATGAAAAACTTAGATTTTAGGTTGAAAACTCATAAAATGTAATGGGTAATTGAAAGAAAGTAGGTTAGAATCACTTACCAACGAATTGGGAAGAAAATCTTATGGAAGAATTGCCTCTAGGTCTTTAAAGTTTGAAATTTTTGAAAGAATGGCAAGAATCCCGTAATTGGGACTGTTTTATCACTGGGCATCAGTGTTCACGCGAACCCGCCTCACCTTCGCGTTCGCAAGACAGGGCTCGCATTCGCATAGAGTCACCTTAAGCCCCCTGCCCAGCCTAGCTAAAGCTACGTGTTCGCGTATGACGGGTCGCGTTCGAGTAGAGCAAGCCCCCCAATGCTCCGCGTTCGCGATCATGGTCTCGCGTTCGCGTAGTGAAAAAAATCCTCCCTCAACCTAGATCCCCTTCGCGATCGCGAGAATGGCTTCGCGATCGCGAAGCACAACGCACCAGAACACCAGCTGCAGCAAAACACCAGATTTTTCAAAGTCCAATTCACCCTGTAGCCTATCCGAAACTCACCCGAACCCTCGGGATTCCAAACCAAACATACACACAAGTCCTAAAATATCATACGAACTCGCTCGCGCGATCAAAACACCCAAATAATGCCTAAAACTATGAATCGGACACCAAATCAAAGGAAATTTTCAAAAAGACTTTAAAACTTCTATTTTCACAACCGAACGTCTGAATCACGTCAAATCAACTCCGTTTCTCACCAAATTCGACAGACAAGTCATAAATATTATAGTGGACCTGTATCGGGATTCGAAACCAAAATACGGACTCGATATCAATAAATCCAAACATCAGTCGATTCTTAAATATCATAAATCTTTCAAACTTTCTATTTTCAACAAAAATCAATAACTCGGGTTAGGGACCTCCGAATTCGGACCTACCGGGACCGTCAAAACACGGATCCGGATCCGTTTGCTCAAAACGTTGACCGAAATCAACTTAAATGAATTTCTAAGGCAAATATTTTTATTTTTATCAGTTTTTAACATATAAGCCTTCCGAAATAACACCCAGACTGCGCATGCAAATCGAGGAAGGCTAAAATGAGGTTTTTGAGACCTCAAAACACAGAATTAGGTTCTAAAATATAAGATGACCTATCGGGTCATCACAGATAAAATGGGATAAGGTGTGAGATTAAATTTATACCATATTTAGTTGAGGGAATAAATTTATCTCCCAATCGTAATACAAAATATCATATCTTATCTCATCAAACTTGAGATTATATTATCTCATTCCCACGTGGAATGAATTAGTCCATCCAGAATAATTTAGTTTGTGTATCAAGTGATCCCAATAATGGTGGATTAACAACTTTGAACTTTTATCATTTGTTTGGAAAAAAGAAGACAAACCATCCAAACTTTGAAATATAATACTTTGTAAGCGTCAGGCATGACATCAGAAGTCACCTAACATATCATACTATAAACCAAATTAGTGTGCAAACATGCAATACTTGACAAAAATTAAAGTCTTGGTTTGAGCTAAAACGTAATGGCGTTTTCTGGAGCACAAGTTCTCCTATTTCCATTTCCAACTGCAGGTCACATAATCCCCCTCCTTGACCTAGCCAACCACCTCATAAATCATCACCTAAAACTCACAATTCTTGTCACACCTCAAAACCTACCATTACTCGAGCCAATCCGAGCAATTCACCCTTCCGATTCTATTCAAACACTTTGCCTTTCATTTCCTGAACTCCCTGCTGGATCCAGTTTTGCTGCAAGGGTTCGTGCAACCTCTGAGCTTTACAATCCGATTGTCGATTGGTTCCGTACCCACCCATCACCTCCTGTGGCCATTATCTCAGATTTCTTCCTTGGTTGGACTGATAAACTGGCATTCCGACTAGGTGTTCGACGTATTGCCTTTTGGCCGTCCGGAGCTTTTACTTGCTTAGTTATAAGTCATACATGGAGCAACGTTGAAGAAATCTTGTCTACAACTAATGAGAACTCTTTGATCACTTTCACTAATATTCCCAATACGCCGGAATATCCTCGGTGGAAAGTGTGTACGTTGAGCAGTCAGTACAAAAAAGGAGACGCCGATTGGGAATTCTTGAGAGGTGGTTACTTTGAAAATATGAAGAGTTGGGGTGTTGTGTTTAACTCTTGTAGAGAAATAGAGGGTGTTTTTATCGATCGAGTAAAGAAAGAAATGGGCCATGATAGGGTTTGGGCCGTTGGGCCCTTGCTACCTTTGGACAATAATATGGTAGGTCCATATTATTTTCAACGTGGCGGGTTGAGTGTGATGCCACGTGATGAAGTGATGACGTGGTTAGACGAAAAGGCCGATGATTCAGTTGTTTACGTGAGCTTCGGGAGTCGTGCAATGTTGACACGACAGCAAGCGGATGCCCTGGCGAGGGCCTTGGAGTGTAGTGGGGTGAATTTCGTGTGGTGCTTGAGAATTCAAGAGGAAGGACACGTGGCAGGCAACGTGGACGTGGTCACGAAAGAATATGAGAATCGAGTAGCAAATAGAGGGTTGATAATCAAAGGTTGGGCTCCACAAGTTGCGATACTAAGTCATCGAACTGTGAGCGTTTTCTTGACTCATTGCGGATGGAACTCGGTACTAGAAGGCATATCCTCTAACGTGCTCATTCTAACATGGCCTATGGGTGCAGACCAATTTATAAGTGCAGAATTGTTGGTTAACCAACTCAAAGTGGGAATTAGAGCTTGCGAAGGTGGTTGTCAAGTAGTCCCAGATTCAGTCGAATTGGCTCATATCTTATCCGAGTCAATTAGTGGAGCTCACCCACAGAAAGAGCGAATGAGTAAACTCCATCATTCTGTCTTAGAGGCTGTTCAAAAGGGAGGGAGCTCTAGTCAAGATTTGGATGCATTTGTCAAGCAAATAGGTCAACCTCAAACTGAAACTAGTTGATCGCCAAATTAAAATTACCACTTGCAAAAAGAAGAAGAAAAATTTGTACTTTTGAGACTTGAGATTGATAGGCCCACAAGAGATGAAGGTAGAAAACGGTTCACCTTCATATATTGTTAGGTAAATCAAGTTATCTACTACATTTTTTGACTCGAACCTTAATAATTCACCGAACTTCTTGAGATTCTACGACATTTTTTCTTTTCAATGCGCATACGTCCTTTGACTCGAACCTTGATTGACATCCTTTGTCCAGCGTATATTACTCTTCCGTTTCAGCATTTCATAATCTCCTGTTACCTTCCTTCTAATTCAAATTGAACTCAAATGCTTTCCAAATGTAATGTAGTTGATTTGATTTTAGTAGCCTAAACAATATATGGAGTAAAATTATAACCATTTGTGTACGGTCAAAATCGGGCTTGGTTAATCGAGACCGGAATGGCAGACCGAGGTTCAATCCCAAGTTATATTGGATCGTTACATGAATAAATATTGCCTAGCTCGTGATTTAGGGATCGATCGAGATCGAGACCAGCTAAGGTCGAGACCGAGAAGGATAGAGATCTAGTGAGATCGAAGGAAGCCTGCTAAGTCGAATAACAGAAAGCCGAGGAATCCGTGACCGGGCGAGGATTGTGGCGGAGATCTCGGCATGTATCAAGTCAAGACCGGTTGATTAGCCAATCAGGAGATTTCCTTCTGTATTTAAAATTGTACCATATGTAGAACTCCTCTACTATATAAAGGGGGTTTCAATTATTTTGTAAGCACAAATTCATGCATAATAAAGCAATATATTACGTTTTCTCTCTTAAACTCTCTTATTCAGTAGTTCAGTTCTTACTAGGGGTGGGCATATTTCGGTCCGAACCGAAGAAACCGACCGAACCGAAAATATTTTTATTTCGGTTTCGGTTATTCGGTTTTTTCGGTCGGTTTCAGTTTAAAATTTTAAAATTTCAGTTTTTCGGTTCGGTTGTCGGTTATTAATTTATTTGGTTCAGTTAACCGAAAAAACGAATTATTATTATATAGATTCTTTAAGTTATATATAGGCTAAGCCCATAGGTAATTATATAGGCCCAATTTTGAAGTCCATCAAAGACCCAATTCAAATAAGTAACCCAATCGGCTATTCCTAATTTTCCATCCCTTAAGACTTTTAACTCTAACGAAACTTACCATTTTATTCTAACTTACCGAAATTTTGAAAGAAAACCAACAAATTTGTCAGTCCAATTATTACATAGAAATAGCCCAATATGATAATGTTCAAATCGAAAACCGATTAGAAATAAACCAAACCGAAATTAGAAAACCAAACTGAACCGAACTTATTTCAGTTCGATTTCGGTTACTACTTTTACAAAACTGAAAATTAAATAACCAAACCGAATTTCTTCAAATCGAACCGAACCGACCGAACGCCCACCCCTAATTCTTACTCTTCAATAATACACTTAGTTGGTGCGAGGGCAACCTAGCTCAAGGGCCAAAGCTGTATGATATATCGGTTTACTTTATTTTACAGTTAATTTCAAACTTCAATTTTTATATTTCTCAGTTTGTGCCAAGTGAAATCACATATCCTTAAAACCACTTACAAATTTAATTGTTATCCGATTTTAATGGTAAACGGTTTGGCGCCCACCGTGGGGCCAAGGATAATAGTGATTGCCTGGTGCTAATTTTCATAACATACACACTGCTTTACACTTGTTCTTGTAAGCATTTTTGATTTCAGGATCAGCATGTCGAACTCTCGAGCAGTACCCACACACATCGACAATGGCCTTGGTTTTCATGGAGAAAAAGACAACGTAGATGCCCCAGGAAACGAAGTGCTTCCAGTTGACCTCGAGGGAGTACCAATTGCAAACCCCATCGACGCCAGTTCCCATGTTGCCCTGAATGCAAATCTGGGCATCGACCCCAAAAATAACGTCCGCAGAGACGTTCGATCAGTCGGTCAGAACGTGGACAGCGGCGAAGAAGGTGGAATCAGGCGGAATCAGCCTTCGAATAATATTCAAAATGCTGCAGGCTCAACAAGCTGCAATAGCACAACTTCAAAATCAGAACCACGCACCGAGTAGGGTCGAACCCGAGCCATCATAGGAAGTTGTTCACAGGGCTGAACCAGTGCCGGGGAGGTCAAATGTCAATGAGTCAGGGACTGACCCCGCTATCTTGAAAATGTTACGAGGAGATGAAAAAGTGAATTGAATCGGGGGAGAAGAATATTGAAGCGAATGATAAAAAAATGGAAACATATAACTCCCGAGTTGATCAAATTCCTAGGGCATCACCGATTTTGAAGGGTTTGAATTCAAAGAAGTTCATAAACCCCCCCCCCCCAGCGCGGCTCCTAAGCCCATTCCGAAGAAATTTCGCATGCCAGAAATTTCCAAGTATAATGGAACTACTGACCCCAACGAGCATGTCACTTCTTACACATGTGCAATAAATGGGAACGATCTAGAGGACGATGAGATTGAGTCTGTACTGCTGAAGAAATTTGGAGAAACTTTATCAAAGGGGGCGATGATATGGTACCATAATTTTCTACCTAACTCCATTGATTCTTTTGCCATGCTCGCAGATTCCTTCATCAAAGCACACGCCAGAGCGATAAAGGTCGAGACTAGAAAGTCGGACCTCTTCAAAGTAAAACAGAAAGACAACGAGATGCTCAGATAGTTCGTATCTCGGTTCCAAAAGGAGCATATGGATCTGCCCCCAGTCGCCGATGATTGGGCCGTTCAGGCTTTCATTCAAGGCCTAAACATACGAAGTTCAATAGCCTCACAACAGTGAAAGAAGAACTTGATCGAATATCCAGCTGTAACCTGGGCCGATGTGCATAATCAGTACCAGTCAAAGAATAAGGTCGAGGATGACCAGTTAGGGGCTCCTTCCGGGTCCGTTTATCCAAACAAGAGCATCGATAGAGTTAAAAAGGATATTGATCGGGAACCACAGTCAAACAGAGATCGATATCAGCCATACGGTGAAGATCGGAGAAACAACAGGCCTGGACGCAACCCCGTTCGAATTGATAGAAGAAATGATCGAGGACAGAGCTCTCGAGGGCTCATGAGTAAGAGTCATTTCGACAGAAATGTCGAACCCAAAGAAGCACCACGACTATCAGAATAGAACTTCAATGTTGATGCATTAGCTATTGTATCGGCCATTGGGCGCATCAAAGACACCATGTGGCCCTGACCTCTATAGACTAATCCGGCCTAGAGAAATCCTAGTCAAATGTGCAAATATCATGGCACCCATAGTCATAGAACAGAAGATTGCAGATAGTTGAGGGAGGAGGTAGCCCGTTTGTTCAACGAAGGGCATCTTCGAGAATTCTTAAGTGATCAGGCTAAAAACCACTTCAAGAGATTCAAACAGACAGAATGAGCAAGAAGAGCCACAGCACGTGATCCACATGATCATTGGAGGGGTCGATATTCCTCAGGGGCCCGTATTCAAACACACCAAGGTGACGATCACGAGGGAAAAGCGGACTCGAGACTACTACCAGAAGGGACCTTGTCTTTTAATGACGAGGATGCGGAGGGGATCTTACAACCCCACAATGACGCACTGGTAATATCTGTCCTTATGAATAAAATTCAAGTTAAACGTGTTTTGATTGATCCAGGTAGCTCGGCCAACATTATTCGATCAAGGGTCGTAGAACAGCTCGGCCTACAAGATCAAATTGTGCCCGCAGCCCGAGTACTTAACGGCTTCAACATGGCAAGCGAAACCACCAAAGGTGAAATTACTTTGCCAGTGAACGTGGCCGGGACCATCCAAGAAACAAAGTTCCATTTGATCAAGGGTGACATGAGATACAACGCCCTGTTCGGAAGGCCTTGGATCCATAACATAAGGGCAGTACCCCCGACCCTCCCTTCACCAAGTTCTGAAGTTCCTGACATCGGAGGGAGTCAAAATAGTATACGGGGAACAACCCGCCGCTAAGGATATGTTTGCAGTCGATGAAGTGATACCGGTATCGGAACTCTCATCAACGAAGGGATCGGATTCGAAGAGAAAGCAGGAGGCCAAATAGCAACCATAGAAACTAGCCTCGACCCAATTGCAGAAGCAAGGGATCGACGATGATGACGACTACTGGATCCCTCGATCCTTCATAATTCCCGATGACTCCGACGCCACCAAATCAACGGTCGAAGAGCTGGAACAAGTCACACTTGCCAAGCATCAGCTCGAACGAATGGTATACCTGGGTACGGGGCTAACCCCCGAGCTCAGGAAAAAACTTATTCATTTTCTTAAAGCTAACATGGATTGCTTTGCTTGGTCCCACCTTGATATGACAGAGATCCCACCAGAAATTACCACTCATAAACTGAGCCTGGACCCTAAATTCCGCACGGTGAAGCAAAAAAGAAGGCCCCAGTCCGAGGTCAAACATGCATTCATCAAGGACGAGGTAACCAAACATCTCAAAATAGGATCCATTCGGGAAATAAAGTATCCCGAATGATTAGCAAACGTAGTAGTAGTCCCTAAGAAGGGAAACAAACTTAGAATATGTGTAGATTATAAAGACCTGAATAAAGCATGCCCCAAGGATTCTTTTCCTTGGCCTAATATCGATCGTGTGATTGATGCCATGGCCGACCACGAGACTCTCAGTTTTCTCGATGCTTACTCCGGGTACAATCAGATATAGATGAACCCGGAGGATCAAGAAAAGACCTCGTTTATCATAAGTATGGTACCTACGGTTATAATGTAATGCCATTCGGTCTAAAAAATGCTGATGCAACATATCAACGCCTAGTAAACCGAATGTTCGAAAAAAAAATAGAAAAATCAATGGAAGTTTATATTGATTACATGTTAATTAAGTCCCTGTGAGAAGAGGACCATTTAAAGCATTTGCAGGAGACTTTCGATATACTGAGGAAGTACAATATGAAGCTCAACCCCGAAAAGTGTGCATTCGGGGTTGGATCGGA